AACAAGAAAGTAATGCAGAAATCTATTACCAAATTTAGAAATTATGCATGCAGATTATTAGCCGGCTAACATCACTACTTGTGGAGCTGTTCCTGAAAGGAATGTTTGAACAAATGCTTCTAGTCTATTCATCATAAATATTGCAAGTTCATTGACCATATCTTTAAAGAAATCTTTATTAAAAGTTGTCATATCTTTTTTCTCCCATTTATCAATCAATTGAAATTCATCAATATGAAGAAAAACAAAAAGTTCCTGATTCTCTTTCAATTCTAAATGTTCAGCAATGCTCTGAAACACAGCACCAATGTTGAAGCATTTGATGTATGGCATGATCTTTGACTGAAATTCAATAAATGACATTTTATATTTTTCATAGATGAAGAATATATAAGCAATTCGTATGCCAATAATCACTGATGGAGAAAGTCCATAATCAGTATTATTAAGTGGACATCCATACCCAAAATCTAAGCAAATATATTGAAAATGAGGTTGAATATTTTTTGTTGACAAAGTAGGTAGAGTCCAGTTATCTTTGAGTTGAAAAAAAAGTTCTTGGTCAAATCATGTTTTACCTAAAATGCAAGATGTAGAGAAACAAAAACTTGAATATAAAAATTGTATTTCTTATAAATGTTAAAGAAGTTAGAGATAATATATTACCTATTCCTGGAGCTCCTCCACTGACAAGGATATTAAAATCCGTTTTTTGTTTTTTACCCAAAATGTTATTTTCTAAATTTTTTTTAAATACTTTAATTGCCTTGGTAAAATCACACTGCAATGCATCAGGAAAATAAATCTCATGTAAACCTATGTAGGGTTTAAAACTGACCAGCATTATGCGGAAATGTTAACAGAATTACCAAAATATCGACATAATGCTGGCCAATTCTGAACCCTATGTAGGTTTATGTAAGATTTATTTTCCTGATGCATAATGGCATCTCAAAACCATATTCTAAAGTGGAAGCACAACCAACATTTTCTAAAACAACCTTGTCTATAACATCTTTAACTGAAAATTAAAGGAAATAAACATTAGAGATTAGGAATGCAAATGCATGCAGACACAATATTTCATGAATTATATACTTGTTTTAAATGCATCTTTATCTGTTGTGGAAATAAATCAAACAAATAAATAAACAAAATGGGATGAAAGAAAATAATTTTTTGTGTATTTTTTTTATGCAATTTGTTCATTACCTTTTACTCCATGCAACTCCTTTCTACAGTCTACCACCTCATCTCCCCATTTCTTCTTTCCTTCTCAAACTCCTCTTCATTTCTTTCCAATACTTCTTTCTCACCAACATACTCTTCTACTACCCCTTTCCTCAATTCTTCTAATCTATTTAACTTTTTTTCTGCATTTCCTAATCTTTCTTCTGCATCCTTCAATTGCCTCCTGATTTCTTTGATTGTCATTTTAAAATTAATTTTTAAAAAAAATTCATTGATTTAGATCGTAATTGTTTTTATAAATAATTTGGACCAATGATAAATTAGTGGACACATGACAATTTATTTTTACGGACAATGGATTAGAAATATTACTATTACAAAGCCAAATTTTATATTTTATAAAACATTTATTTATAATGTCATACAAGGATGACATGTAACATAGATAATAAATCATCCTCTTCCAAGCATTTTTTACAAATAATATGAAATTTTTTTTTAATTTAACCAATAGTAATTTTTTATTGAATTTGTTACA